GCTACATGCATATGTACCCTGTCATCTGCCTTGAACCTGTATTGCATTGCCAAACTACCATCCTAAAACACAGCCTTCTTGCCAAACTTAAAAACATATCAAAGCCTTACTTTGATCTTAAGTGACTTAGCATCATTTTCCTCATTATGGAATAATAATTTTCCCCACTTGATCAGAAATCATGACTACCACAACCTAGCTGTGTTTCCACAAGCCAGGAGCTTAACCTACTTAGGTCTCATTTTTTAAAGACAAGACTCATTTTTTATTTTATTATTTTTTATTATTTCTTATTTATTTTTATTTTTTTAAGACTCATTTTGTAAGTAAAGGTTGAAATCTATATCTTGCAGGTTTCAGGTTAATATGAATTGACCAGGTGAAATGAAAGAGCAACATGGGACCTGTGACAAACTGGAACATATGAAGCCTTTGTAAGTGCATTTTTACTTGAGAGTTTCTGATATAGCTTGTTTTGTTTTCTTTGTTTTATTTTAAGTAGGAGGGTAGTCCAGATTTGGCCAAAGGCTAAGAATTTTAAGCCCTGCTTTAAGCTCTAAAACTTCTATAATTCTAGGCTCAGTGATCATGCTCATTCCTGGCTCTGCATTTTTGCTTATATTGCCCAGTGATTAGCACCACTATCCACCCCAACCACCAGCACAACACACACACACACACACACACACACACACACACGAGTCACTCATATTCTTGAATAGAATGGAATAGAAATAGAACATTTAATTAGCAGAAAGCAGCTAAGAAAGATTTAGTAGGCACATTGGGGGTTTGGAATTTCTCCAGAGTTCTCTGAAATTAAATTGCAAACTAAATTAAAACCAGACTGAAGTTTTACCTATTAGCTAGGTGACAATGTTGCTCAGTATTCTTGAACTTCAGTTTCCTCATATATAAAATGGAGATAATGTATGATCAAGATAGCTTACAGGCTTCTTTGGAGGACTGAATGTCATGATGATGATAATAGCAGCTAGTATTTATTCAGCACTTACTATATTCAAGAACTTTCCTACATGCTTTACATACATGATCTCATTTACCCTTTAATAAAAACCATGTGAGATAAATATTAATAGCCCCATTTTTACAGATCTGGAAGCTGATGCTCAGAAAGGCTAACTTTACTGAAGTCACAGAGCTGAGTGGTGGAAGAGGGACTTAGATTTAGGATTAGGTGACTCTAAAGCTCCCAGTATGTCATTGTTATCCTCCACTGTATTAGTTTCCTGCCACTGCTAAACAAATTACCACAAATTTTGTGGCTTGAAACAACATACTTTTATCTTACAGTCTGAAGGTCAGAAGACTAACTGAGTCTTGCTGAGCTAAAATCAAGGTTCTGGCAGGGCCGTGCTCCTTCTGGAAGCTATATGGGAGAATCCATTTTATTTCCTATTCCAGCCTCTAGAGGCTGCCTGTGTTTCTTGGCTCTTGGCCTCTTTCTATCTTCAAAGCCAGCAAAGGCCAGCAGAGTCTTTCTTACATGGTATCACTCTGACACACTCTCTCTGACTTTAACCCCTCTGACTCCATTCTCCACATTTAAGGACCCTTCTGATTACACTGGGCCACCTGGCTAATATAGGAACCTCTCCTCCTTTTAGGTCAGCTTAAATGATTAGCAACTTTAATGATATCTGCAACCTTAATTCCCCCTTGCCACATAGTATAACATATTCATAGATTCTGAGGACTAGGAAGTAAACATCTTTGGAAGGGGACATTATTCTGCCTACTATATCCACTGTTTATATAGGATAGTACAGTATAGCATAGTATACAGTATAGTAAATACGTTTAGTGGACATCTATGGTTCTTGCTTTCCCAGCAACTTTTCATCTAAGTTTTGTTGCATCATCCTCACTTCTGTCTCCTATAGGGTGTATCTTCCCACCCCTCTTGCTACTAGTGACTCTATTAGGCACACAATTCTACTGCCTATGGACACAACAGGGGACATGGGGCAAAAACAATAATGCATCATCCTAGGCCCAATATTGGTCCAAAGAGTGGGCATAAGACCCAAGCAGGTCAATAAGACTCCTTACCTGTGAATTGATCCCCTTGGATCATGAGCCATAAGGCTGTGATCCCAGAGATGCTGGTGGCATATATCTATATGCATGTACTCTTCCCCTAAGAACATATGGAGAAGCCAAAGAGAATGAAGCCAACAGACAAGCAGAAAGCCAGACTACAATGAGAAAGAGAGAGTGGGCCCTTTTGCTATTTAAATCTCACTATTCTGTTGACTCTGCCAGTGGCTCCACCCCTACACTTAAGAGGCCGTCCCTGTGAGACAATAATTTTTGCTATTTTTCTTAAGCTAGTTTGAGATGGATTTATATCATTTGGCACAAAAAAGCCCTAAAATAAATGCTTAAGTTTAAGTATTATTTGCATTATGTGTGTCCATTTTGCTTTCTCCATTACACTGTAATCCTCGTGACATCAGAGTTCATACCATAGTTCTGTGGGCTTTCTCCTATGCACATAACAGTACTAGGTTTACTGTAACAGCTCCAGAAATATTTTCTGATTTATATGTCCATTTACATGTCATTAGATGAAAATAAATATAAATAAACAAAAGCTATACCCATGCATCTTTAGTTTTACCATTTTTCTTGACTCTTTATAAAATCTGTATTTTCTAAGTATGAAGCATAAGTAAGTTCTGATCTTCTGTAAGATGGACGCCTTAAAAATAAACGGCTTACCACATGTGTTGCTTGCTGTGAAGAGAAAAGAATAAGAATAACAACTGGCAGAGGTTGGCCTAAACACTACTGACATTTTCTCTCCCCAAATTAGATCAATAGATTTTTGGAAAGGGCCACTCATGTCTAATAATAATAACAATAAGTTTTAAAAGTAATACATGAAAAATACAGAAAAATAACACACATTAACTTTAAAAAAATATATATATATCCTTTTATCATTTTGAAGCATTTTTACAATGTTAAGATTTGTACGTGCGTGTGTGCGCATTCCTCTCTCACCTCCCCGCCCCCCCCGCCCCCCACGGAGCATAAATCTGATGGCAGCGAAGAGCTAAGGAAAAAAATTTCCTGACAAATGAAACTCATGCACTGACAAATTGGGTGCACAGTAGTGTTCTATCTTTTCATCAGTTTTGCATAGAAAAGAAATCACTTGATTCATTCAGGGACTATGCTTCCAATCTAATTAGTACATTTAACTAGGTCTAATGACCTGAGTCAGTGGCTTTTTTTTTTTTTTTTTTTTTTTTTTTTTTTTTTTTTTTTGGCCTAGATTCTGAGTGCTACATGCCAAGCACAGTTTTAGGTGCTTTACATGCATTAACTAATGTAATTCTCCACCAATCCTATGACGGGTGTTTGTGGCAAGTGGAATTCTAAAAATGCCTGCCCCCCAACCCCAAAGATTTTCATGGTTTGATTATTCAATGGAACACTAATTTAGGTATTGCTCTGAAGGGACTTTAGAGATGTAATTAAAATTATATATGAGGGTACTTCAAAAAGTTTGTGGAAAATGGGATTAAAAGATAATACAAATCTTTCCATGACTTTTTGAAGACCCCTTTGTACCTTAACAAAGGGAAATTATTCTGAATTATTTGGGTATTCCTGATCTAATCATTTGAGCCCCTAAAAACAGAGAACTTTCTTAGGCTGGTTCTCAGGCTGGAGTCTGAGAGATGTGGCAAAAGAAGGCATAGGAGAGATGACGCAGAAGGAATGATCAGAGAGATTCAAAGTGTTAACAGGAGATGACCTGCCATTGCTTGCTTTCAAGATGGAGGAAGTGATCCACAAGCCAAGGAATGCAGATGGTCTTTAGAAGCTGAGAATCTCCATCTAAAAGCCAGCAAGAAAACGGGAACTTCACAGAAGTGAGTTCTGCCAGCAACCTGAATAAACTTGAAAGAATTCTCCCCCAGAGCCTCCAAGTGGTGAACATAGTCCTGCCTACAATTTACCAGTCCAGTTCTAGATTAGAGGAGGTTAAAGAGGCATGATCACTAAATTCAATACAATCCTAGACTAGATCCTTGTTGTGGGTGGAGTAGGGAGTAATTTTAAAGAATAGTATCGAAACTGGGGAAATCTTAATTTGGTCTGTTTATTAGACAATAGTATTTTATCAAAGTTAAATTTCTTGAATGTGATAGTTGTACTGTGGTTATTTAGGACAATGCCCTTGTTCTTAGGAAATACAAGCTCAAGTATTTAGGAGTAAAGTAACATTACTATGCATGTAGGCAGAGATAAAACAAATGTGTAAAATGTTAGGTGGTGAATCTAAATGACGGATGTCCAGGTGTTCATTCAAGTATTTTTGCAACTTTTCTAAAAATATTATCAAGTTTTTCAAAATAAAAAGTTGGGGAAAAAATCATTCCGGATACTCTGCGTAGAATGGATTTGAGGCGAATAAGAGAGAAGTGGGAAGACTGGATGGGAAGGTACTGCTGTAATCAGGTTGAGGACTGGAGTAGGACGTGACAGCCGGGATTAAAAAAAACAACACCCCACCCCACCCAACCCCGGCCTCCAGCGAGGCCAGTGAAGTAAACGAGTGACGAAAGCTCATCATATAACTATAGCTCTCACAGGCACCTCCCTCGCAGGACAAACTTCCTTGGGGAGGGGGTGTGGTCGGCCAGCTGCTTTCTAATTTGGCGGGCATCAATCCCTCGCGCAGTCACGATCCCCTGGGCCCCAGACTGGAAGAGCCCACGTGTACAGCCCAAGACGGGGGTAGACAGCATCCTAAAGTTAATTGGTCTCTCCCTTCGCCAGGCTTCTTCAAGTCTTTGACCTTTTCCTCTCACAATATTCATTATTACTGAGTATCTTCGTAAAACTGACTGCTGAATGGAGAATAGAGGTAAAAGTTTCACGGAGATGTTTGTTTTCAGCCCTCCCCACGTCCGATGCGTGCGCAATGCCGCAAAGGGCAGGAAGAGGAAGCGGAAGTGTCGGCCGGGGGAGCGTCTGCCTGAGGCCGCGGGGCGAGTCCCGGGCCCCTGCCATGGAGAGGGCTCGCGAGCCGCTGCTGGATGCTAAGTCCGGGGTGAGTCCCGGCCTGGAAGAGCAGGATCAGAGGGGCTGTGGAACAAGAAAGATCTTTCCCTAAATGTGTGTTTTCTGCTTCCGTTTCAGGTCACCAACCAGGTGAGTGAGTGGCCGCCCCGCCCCGTCCTCAGTCGGCCTTCGCTGGGCAGGGGGCGGGCTGCTGCACCCGGCCCGCCTCCCGCAGCCGGAGGACAGGGCCACCCTGAGCCTTCCCCAGTTCTCCCAGACCGAGGCTGGTGTCCGCAATCCGGTGATGTTCAGCTCACCTCCCTGCCTTGCTCCTTCCCTTTTGCACCCGAGAAGGGAGCCGCTGCCGTTGTGATTTAAGCTCCTCCACCCTCTCCAACTCAAAGCGTACAGACCAAGTATTGTTCTTCCTTGATGAGGCGACGTTTTCGAATTTAGGAACAGTCTTTTAGAATGTGATGGATATAGAAGAGATTATTAAAATTTACAAAGATAACACCGCAAACCAGTTTTTAGTCTTTAAAAAAGTTTTTTTTCAAATGGAGTAAAAATTTTAACCTTTCAGAGTGTCTGTTTTTAATGCTAGAAATTTAGAATGTGATGGATATAGAAGAGATTATTAAAATTTACAAAGATAACACCGCAAACCAGTTTTTAGTCTTTAAAAAAGTTTTTTTTTCAAATGGAGTAAAAATTTTAACCTTTCAGAGTGTCTGTTTTTAATGCTAGAAATAAGAATTTGACTTTTGAAAATGTATCTTGGTCCCATGGGGTTTTTTTGTTTGTTTCAAGTGTTCCTGTTCTGTTTCATTTAATAAACTATTTTTAGGCATAACTTAACACACTTCCGGAAGAAGAGTACTAAAACTAGAGTATCTTAGGTCAGGAATTACCCAGGTCCATACAAGATGTACGAAAGGGCTGAGGTAAAAAAATAACACAGGGGCTGAGAGAGGTGTCCATTGACTTCTCTTTGTCATTTGGCTCCAACTGATTTTGTTCGTTGTTTTTTTTTTTTTTTTTTTAAAGATGACCGGTAAGGGGATCTCAACCCTTGGCTTGGTGTTGTCAGCACCACGCTCAGCTAGTGAGCAAACCGGCCATCCCTATATGGGATCCGAACCCGTGGCCTTGGTGTTATCAGCACCGCACTCTACCGAGTGAGCCACGGGCCGGCCTTTGTTCGTTGTTTTTAAGGACACTGGAAAGTAGGGGAATTTAGGAAGGTAGTAATCAACCCAGGACCAGGCTTTGCTCAGTCACACGAGCTAGTGCATTTAGATTCAATCTCTCGTAAGTTATTTTATCCATTCATTTACATTACATCTTATGTTCGAGTAAAATATACAGAAACTGGGGCCGGCCCGTGGCTCACTCGGGAGAGTGTGGTGTTGATAACACCAAGGCCCCGGGTGTTTAAAACAACACAAATTTATTATCTTACAGTTCTGGAGGTCAGAAGTCCAACACCAGTCTTGTGGGGCTACAAACAAGGTGTTGGCAGACCTGTGTTTCTCTTGGAGGCTGTAGGGGAGAACCTGTTTTCCCTGTTTCCTTGTCTTTTCCTGCTCCTAGAGGCTTCCTGCATTTCTTGGCCTGTAGCCTCTACTTCCATCTTCAAAGCACATCATTCCAATCTCTGCTTCTGTCGTCACATTGCTTTCTCTGACTTTGACCCTTCTGCCTCCCTCTTATAAGAGCTGTTGTGATTATACTGGGCCCAACTGGATAGTCCAGGAAAATCCCTCTATCGTAAGATACATAATTTTATTTCATCTACAAAGTCCGTTTTATCAAGTAATGTAATTAACTAAGTTGTATTCATAAGGAAGAGCCATTTATAAATTTGGAACAGGCTCTTTTTCAAAAAATTTTTCAGGTTTGATTTGCTTAAACTCAACTCTACTTTCTTCCTTAAAGTTATTGATATTAGTAAATGATAGTCATTATGTTTCTCTAAATATATTTGCAGTTTACATTTTTTCTTCTAGTCAATAATAAAGTTTGAGCACTAAAATTGTCCTAAGAGGTCTTTATATAATTTTCATAACTTCATGGGGCAAATACAATTATCTTCATTTACTTACTCTTCAGCCCTCTTCTGTACTTCTCTCTCCAAACCTTGAATATTCCTTCCTCACCCTCTGCTGAGGACCCTGCTTATATAACTGAGAACACAGAATCAACCAGAATGTAATTTCCTCATTTTCCTACCACCACGTTTAACATTCTTCCTGCCTTCATATTCTGCCTTCCGTTCTATAATTATTGATGCATTGTTGACAGTCTGTCTAAGGCCAAGCTCTCCACTTGTGAACTGGATCCTATCCTCACAAGCAGAAAGACTATAATTATCACTTTTTCTCTTCTGTGATTTGCATTTCTTCTCTATACTAAATCACTACCAAATATGTGCTAGTGACTGCTTGGAAAAAAAACCTATTTTTGCTCTCATTCATCTTCAGCTACTCTCCTATATCACACTTTTTCTTTACAGCAAAACTCCTTGAAGGAGACATCTGTACTGATAGTCTCTACTTCACCTCCCATTTTATCAAGGCTTTTATACCCACCATTCTTGTCAAGTTCATCATTGAGCTGTGTTACCACGTCCAGTGGTCAATCTTCAGTCCTTATCTTATTTAACCTCAGTAACATTTGACACAGTTGATTACTTTGTCTTTGAAACACTCATTTCTCTAGGAGTCATTCTTCTGGTTTTCCTCCTACCCATTGGTTGTTCTGTCTCAGGCTCCTTTAGTAGATCTTCTTCATAATCTGTTGGAGTATTCCTGGGTACATTCCTCAGAGTTCTTATTTCCTCCCTCAATCCCCTAGTGTTTTCATCTAGTCTAATGTCTTTAAATACCATCTATATTCTCATGATCCAAATTAATCCAATATCTCCCCTGAATCCCAGGCTCAGTATCCAGTTCCTTTCAGTCTTCTCTTGGACACCAGGTGTTTCAAACTTAAAACGTTCAAAACCACAGGCTTGATTCCCACTCCCCTCCCAACTTATTTTCCCAGTGTTCCTATCTCTGTAAATGGTCCTGTCGTTTATCTGGTTGCTCAGGGCCAAAACCATGAAGTTGATGTTGGAAGCTTGGGATATCTTTCTCTAACACCTCCCACACAATCCTTCAGCGTATGTTTTCTCTACTTTAAAAATACACTCTAGGGGCCAGCCCGTGGCTCACTCAGGAGAATGTGGTGCTGATAACAACAAGGCCACGGGTTTGTATCCCATATAGGGATGGCCAGTTAGCTCACTGGGTGAGCGTGGTGCTGCGAACACCAAGTCAAGGGTTAAGATCCCCTTACTGGTCATCTTTAAAAAAAAAAAAAAGAAAGAAAGAAAGAAAGTTTGCTTTTAATTTGCATTTAAAGGTTGAGTTTGGAATTTTACAAATTCTCATCTCATAAACCTAATCCTAGCTTCCTTTTATTTATGAATACTAACTTTGCACAATAAATGTCTTGATGGCAGATCTCTCTGTATCCTCATCTGACAATTTCACTGTTCAATTGATTACAGTGTCAGTGGATTACAACATTTTGCTCTTTAATTACTTTTCTGCTTGAAATGTTCTAGATAATTCAGTTTTATTTTAGATCCCAAGGATCCAATAGTAAAATCTACAATTTTACTGTGGATAGTAAAAATGGAACTTCTTTCATTGAACTGTACAGTCTGAATAAAGTTAAGAATAAGAAATTCCTGGCTCAATCTTTAGATATCACTATTGAATTGAAATAAAAACTGTCTCTATTCATGAACTCTCCTGAATTCAGTTCTTGGAGTTTAGCCACTTATTGAACACTCCTATTTAGATATCCCTAGCATCACCTCTAAATGATACCTTTGGACGTAAAATATATGAAGTCCTGATTGATATTTGGTATTAACATTCTCCCAGTTATCCAGGCTCAAATTTTTACTTAGCTATAAACAGATATAATATGTAAGCAATCATCAAGACCTAGCAATGCATTCTTCATAGGATCTGCTTCATCCTGCTTGTTACCACTTTAGTTCAGGCACTTTTAACCTCGTGTTTGGATTACTGTGTTCTGCTGCCACCAAATGAAGATTTCTTAATCAGTGCTTTGCGATGATTCTTTTTACTCGGAAACTTTCAGTGAGTCAGTCCCCATTGCCTACAAGAAAAGTTTAAATGACTTAATGTGATAAGTTTTCCATAATAAGAGTATTTGAGAGTAATTTGAAAAACTCCAAAAGCTCATTTCACAAAGAATTACTGGCTTTTTTGATCACTTTTGTCAACTTTATTTTCCACACATCTTTACGGAGCCTTTCCCTTTAAGACAGTTAAATGCTCTATCTCTAAACCAGATGTTGACTTTTCATCTGTAGTTGGTTCCACTTACTATTAATTAAACATTTATTCTTTGTTAGGTGTGTATTTATGGAATACATAAACAAGATGCATTTTCCTCTCAATTCCAGTTCTATTTATTTTTCAAAACTGAGCTTAAAATGTATCCCCTCTGTAAAGCTTTCCCTTGATCTCCCTAGGCCACAATAAATTTTTCCTTTCAACCAGAAATGTGGTAGTCACTGACTTGTATTTCTCTTTCTCTCAACTACATGAGCAAGACAACATATATACAAAAAAGGGCATAAAATATGGATAGCTTAACCAATAAAATACGAATAGTTTAAAAGTGAATACATTGGGCTGGCCCAGTGGCGCACTGGAGAGTGCGCCGCTTGAGAGCGCGGCGGCGCTCCCGCTGAGGGTTCGGATCCCATGTGGAGACCGGTTCCCGCTTAATGGCTTAGCGCGGTGCGGGCGCAACACCGAGGGTTGTGATCCCATTGCCGGTCCCCGGTATGGGCGCGACACCGAGGGTTGCGATCCCGTTACCGGTCAGTAAAAAAGGAAAATAAATAAATAAATAAATAAAAGTGAATACATTGTAACCACAATCAGAAGTGAAGAAATGGAGCACTACCAATACCTCAGAAACCCACCATATGCCCCTCCCCAATATAACCCCCCTTTCCTCCACCCTAGAGGTAGGATTATCTTTTTGTAATAATCATATTCCTAATTCTTTATAGTTTTACCATCTATTTCTCAAGTTTAAGTGAATGGAATCACATAACCAACTTTTTTTTAAATACATTTTTGGTGGTAAGTGTAACAAGTTCATTCATTTTCATTGCCGTATAGCATTTCATTTTTCCATTTTATTACTGATTAACTTTTGGGTTGTTTATAGTTGAGGGCTATGATGAATAAAGCTATTAGAACATTCTTTTACATGTATCCTGTGTCCATATGATCAAGGTTTTCTATGTTATGTCCCTAGAATTGCTGGATCACAGTATGGATAACTTCAGTTTTACTAGGTAGAACCAGTTTTCCAAAAGGTTGGCCCAATTTAGACTTCCATCAACAGCATGTGACATTTCCATTGCCTCACATCCTTCCTTGCCAATACTTGGAATTATCAGACTTAAATTTTTGCCATATTGGTAGATGCGTAGTGGTATCACATTGTGGTTTTAATTTGCATTTCCCAGTTTCCTAATG